AGTCCTTGACTTATGACTACAATTGAGCCCAAAATTTTGGTTGCTCAGCAAAAGCGTTGTTAAGTGAGCTTCACCACATTTTACCCAATCTATGACATCTCCGGGTGAGTAACATCAAGTTGGCCATTCCCACCTGGTCACATGACTTCCAAGCTACTCCCACCTGGTCACATGACTGCCAAGCCACTCCCACCCCACTCACATGACTGCTGAGCCACTCCCACAAAACAGGCCACACCTACAGAATAGGTTCTAAAAACATTTGAAACCCACCACTGCCATGAAGGAATCTGGAACTCATTTCCCTTCCAAGAATAAAAGGGCTGTAACAACAGGATGCCTGCATAATTCATTACTTGAATTTTTTCTTTCAATATATTGGTCCGGACCTTTGTCTCTTGCTACCTAGAGCTTTAAACCCTCACTGCAAGTCGCAAACCACAATTCTCATGTTTCACTGGCACTCTATTATTTGGTACTGGTTAAAATACTTAACGATATACAATATAAAATTGTTCAATGTTGTGTGCAAACTGCTTCCATTTCTTGTGAGTCTGCAAAATGGAATTTGAGAATCCTAAAGTACACATGGATCAGGACACTAAGATTTGGAGCAGGCTCCACCTTAAACGACTATGGCACCCAGATTTATGTTTCAGGCAGATATGGAAGCTCAAGATGGATTCCCCCCCCCCTTATTCTGAATGTTGGAAGAATTCCCAAATGACTACTGCATTGGGATATAGTTGGCTGACATAGATTTACTCAGTTGTGTGATGGGGTGAGAGATATTACATTAACCCCTATTCTATTCTCTCCCCAAGTTGAGAGTACAATAAAAAGGAGATAGATCTTGCTTCACAGCTCTGTCACAGATGGCTAGTTGGCTCCCGAAATCCGACCGAAGCCACATTTTTCAGAATGTTCTTGACCTTCACAGTCAAGCTACCCTCCTTAACTAAACAATTGCATGACTGTTGAAGCAATTCTTCAAAGCTATTTTAAGCTGTACCAGGCAATAAAGATGCTCCTCATTGCGTTTGCCTTGAAGCACAGGTGGGAGGAGATGAGCAGGACAGAGCAAACTATGTAGAAGATAGCTAATGGCATGAAGAATTACTCCAGAGTAATTTATTATTGCCGGCCTATAGCCAGGAATCTTGCCAGACTAAAGCACTCTGTCTCTACTCCTTGGGAAAGACCCCCTCCCTCCTGTGAATCTGCACTACATTCCACCACAGTAAGAGATCAGCATCTATTGCTCTCTCTTGTACTCTCCATTTAAGTCCATCTAAATGTAAATTAGACTTACCCTAAAAGTTCCTGTCAAAATGAATGGAAACCCAAATGGCAAAGCTAGTACTGCAGCAGAGACTACAGTGAGCGCTCCCCTCTTTAACCTCCCACATTAGGACACCAGTCTGGATTGCTTTCCCCTGCAAAGCTGGCAATTTGGGTGGGAAGAACACGGCACTTAATGGAAGAAGTATGTGATTAGATGAATCTGTAGCCTGACCCTTGGTGTTTCATAAGCTTTATATCAGCAAGGAATTCAAAGTTGTTTTAACAATACCCCATTGGCTGATTATTTGGGGCCATGCACAATGCACTGCCTTTTTGATGGGATCACTAATTCCACTTATTCTGGTTACAATATTCTAAATTACATTATCCATTTTTAGCTAAAGATAGATGACAGGAGTCAAGAGCCCTTGAACTGAACAGGTCCTTCTGACTCTCTTCCAGCTTGTTCAAGCCAGATATGCTTATCCATTTGACGTGGAGCTTTTCCCACTGTTGAAATGAGTATCATCACCCCATCCTTGAAATGTCAGAAAACCAATCAAGAACAAAATTGACTGTCCCCGTTGCTGATCCCTACCTTGCTTCTATTCCCACTGTGCTAGGCACCTACTTTCCCTCTAAAATAATAGTGATAAGCCTAATTAATTTTATATATCATGAGGCTGCTTTTGGGTAGTATTAGAATAAGGCGGGGATTCTATTTTAATACAGGCACTGGTGAGGATGATTTTGGCCTGTTTCATACATGGGCTGGGGAAATCAACTGGAGGCAAAGTCATAGGGACATGGCAGAAAAAAGATGTTGCAAACGCATGCTTGTGTTATAGCTGGATTCACGTGGGGAAAAGGTTCCTAACCAAGATAAGTCTGAGTCAGACTTTCTAGTAGGCAGAGATGAGCCATCAGCCTGGGACACGTTCACCCAGAAGTCAATCCCACTGTATTCCATGGGATCTAGGAAATGCATTTTATGTGGCTGCCTGGGTTTCAGATGTAATATATTAAGGAAAGAAGCTAATGCAGGCTCTATCCCACAATTTCTCTTTAGAATCACATTTCTTTCCTAGCAGCCTTTTCCCACTACTGAGTTAAAATGATATTTACATCCCTGAGTCACGACAAGACAAGGCCAGCATAACATTTGCTGTCCCTGATCTCCATTACCGGTCCGTCTCCTGCCTTCACTGAATTGTTAACACTCAATTGTTGCTCAAGTGTGTTGTTCAGATATGTACGTGTGCCACTCATAGGCCATGGCATTCGCTTGCTCCTTGGCTTTTTGCCATCTGTTTTCAACATATCAGAAGCCAGAAGGGAAAACATGACTAATCACAAACCAGAAGATTTTTACTTCAGAGCTCTGCCTAACTTCTCTCGGCTGGTTTGTCTGACCATTTTTTATACTATATTTGCACATTTCCTAAAATTAAGATAATTGAATTTTTTTAAAAAAATCTATTAAAAAACACAAGGGCTGAAAGAATTTAAAGAGGAGGGAATCCCTGCCATAAATGTACAACCATCTCTAGAATAATTGAAACTGGCCAGATCATGGACAATTTGCTTTCTTACTTGTGAGAGGGGGACTATTGAAATTGACAAATAGAGGGGAAAGGACAAACAGCTACAAATCCAAAACCTTGTGTTCCTTGCTGAAAGGGTGGAGTTCTGCTATCTTCCTTCTATTATATTTCATCCTGCCTTTAATAGTTTTACAAATAACTCAAGATGGGAAACATATCTAATACACCTTTCTCTTCCTGTTTGAATGATTGGCCCAAGGCCATCCAGCCGGGTTTCATGGTTAAGGCGGGATTAGAACTCACAGACTTCCACTTTCTAGCTAAGCGCCTTAATCACTAGACCAGACTGGTTCTCCCTATTTGATAGAAGCCTAAAGAGAAGTTGATATCAGAAACAGAGAAATCTTGGGAGGTAACAAACTTGAAAGGAACTGGGGAAACAAATTGTTAACAGAGAGGGCAGAGACAGCGAGAGTAATATCTGATTCCTCCTACTGATTCCTCCGGAAGACAATATACGTAGTTCAAGGTTGAAATGTGGAGTCCTTGATGCTCTCTGCATTTGGTTGTTTGGAAGTTTCATTACCTGACTAGGTAAGACCATCAATGCTACTGAGTGTGGCGTTTGCTCCCAGTTTATATGCAGTACCGGTAGTTTGCTTTGCCAGTGTTAGTGGAGGTGTGGATTTCTCCTTGATAAGGATATTGGGTTTTTTGCTTATTAGTTGCTTCTACTCAGAGCTATGTGAATATCATAGATTCAGTAAGCATTTACAAAGTTGGGCATCCAATCGCATTCTTAAAATCAAGTCCACAGCCCTAGGCAATTTATACACAATAGGATTCTATTGATTTTATTGGGAGAAGAAAGCACATGTCTAAAAGTGATTATGTGCCACCCAGAATTGCAATGGAGTTGGACAGCTGTATATATTTAATTAATAATTGTAACAGCAGCAACAACAGCAGCGATAAATAATATGCCACACCCCCTGTGTAGCCTGAGATGCAGATAAAACAATGGAATCAGCAAAAGCAGGGCTTACTGGAAGTATGCCATAGTGAATTCTTCCAGGGTATTAATTGTTGTGGGGTTGAACTGTTTATATTAACCAAAATATTTGCAAAACCAAAGAGCCCTTCCAGGCCCTGCTTGCACAGATCTTTCTTGTTGTCACTCCCCATTCATAATTCTCCTATCTTATCTCTATCCTCACATGCTATTTTTAAGAGAAAAACTGCTAAAAGAAGAAGCATCCAAGCCACCATACTGCACAATG